TAAACCTAAGTATCTACAAAGTCCATGGCTTGGCATTAGTCTTTGTCTTCGATTGTCAAATCCCACCTGGCTTCCAAAATCATCGCCCGATCCCTTCCATCATAGTGTTTAGCCTCCCAAGTCTGATGATCGTGTTGCTTTCGTGGACGCTCAAGGCCTGAGACGCCAACTTTGTCAAGGTTGAACAAGCCCAAATCGAGTTTGATCTCATCCAAGTATTGCTTTTTTTTCTCCCCCTTAATTTACTTTGATTTATTGCATTTTATTGATTTCTTACCCAGCTTCTATCGTAAAGTTGGTTTTGATGTTTTCTAGATTTATGTTATGTGCTGCTATTTTAGCTTCAGTGTAATGTTGATTTGTTTAACTCATGTTTTCTTTTCTTACATCTAAAAAATGCATGTGTATCTCCCTTGGTTATCTTACTTTTTCCTATTTGGGGAATACATTTCACTATTTATTATCTGCCATATTTCCAAAATTTTTTGTCTGCTGCATATCAATAAAACTATTGGTTTGCCATTATGTTATCAAAAGCCTCACTTAAAGTGTCACTTTTGTCTTATATTTCCAATGCATTGGAAATTTATATTCACCTGCTAATTTCCAATTTTGCCAATTTTATTTTCTCAATTCTTCTTTATAATCTATCTGATAAATATTGGTCATTTGAAGGGTCTCTTCTATATGCATATATAATGTTATACCAGTCTCTCTTTTTAGCATCACAGAAGGCATACAGATCTTAATGGCTAATATGTTTGATTTTATTAAAGATCTTAATCCTTCTAAAGAGCAATGGAGGATAAAGGTTAGAGTGATTAGGTTTTGGAAGCAGAAGAATTTTTGGCAACCAAAATTGGATGATAATATTGAAATGCTTATTTTGGACGAACATGTAAGTATTGAAATGTCTTCTGTAAATTTTTGTTGCTTTCTTACCAACTTTGTGATTCTTTATGCATTCATAATTACAAGTATTTTTGGATTATTGAAATTTAATCTTAAAATTGTAGGTGATGGTGGGGAAATAACAACAATTGATCTCCTTTTTGGCATTTGATCTAAGGAAAAGATAAAGATCCCACATGCTTGGAATCTAATCTATTTTTAATATTTCTTTTATTCATTTTTTTGTTTATAGAACATTCCAGTCTTATTAATTTTGTATATTTACAGATGAAGATGATGGATGTGTCAAAGGAATCAACATTGTATTGAGTAATGATATGTCTGAAGGTACCATTCTTTGTTTTAGAATTTCTCTGTCTCTAATTTCACATACTAGACTTCCTTTGTATTTATGGTTTTATCTTTAGATTGTAACTCAAGAAATTATTCTGTAGGCTACTTCAATCAAAGACTCAATCTTTACGTTTGACAGTTTGAGCTTCTCATTCTATTGATGACAAGAACAGGGTGTATAATCCGCTTGGTTTGTCTTCTTTGCCTTTTTTTTTCTCTCTTTATTTTCATGTACTTGGGTTTATCATGCTTTCTTGGTACTATAGTTCAAAATGGGTCTCTGATTTTTGAATTGATTTGAGATTTGAGATGCTAATGAGCATCAACTATTTGAGTTAATGTCACAAAGAATAATCTTTACTTAAGAAATGAAAGTGCAAACTAGAGAGATGTCTAAATGTTGGCATTTAGTTTTGTAGCACCTTGGATGTTACATTTTAGAGAAATTGAAATTTGCTACATTGTAATTCTTTAATTCTCAAGGAACATTTGGTGTTTTTAATGTAATGTATTTCCTAGTTCGCATTGTTGAGACTTCAGACTTGCCTAGAGGATCAGAGTTCTCAAATCAAAGCTGAGGAGTTAGTGATTTATTTTAAGAAATTGTGTTTTCAAAACGATTATTCTTAAGAATAAGCTACGAGTTTTAACAAATTTTTTTGCAGTTGTTGTTTATTTTTTCAAATCTCTTACATCTTGATCATCCTTTCTCACTTGAAATTAGATATGTTAATTCAAATGGTTTAGGTTTGTTTTCATTGAAAAGAT